TGAATAAACACTAAAGACATATTTAAAAGAAAAAAAAAAAACTAAATTACTGAAACGTCAAACAAAATGAAAACCGAAAATATAAAAATATAAACAATCAAAATATTTAAAAAAAACTCGAATAGTATCTCAGTTATACTAAAGTAAATTTGGCACAATGCTTATTCAAATTTTAATAATTATTTTTAGGATCTCTATGATTAAACATGAGCATACTAACAAACTAAAAAAAAAAAAAATGAATAAACACTATAGACATATTTAAAAGGAAAAAAAAAAACTAAATTACTGAAACGTCAAACAAAATGAAAACCGAAAATATAAAAATATAAACAATCAAAATATAAAAAAAAAACTCGAATAGTATCTCAGTTATACTAAAGTAAATTTGGCGCAATGCTTATTCAAATTTTAATAATTATTTTTAGGATCTCTATGATTAAACATGAGCATACTGCCGTTATGTGTCTGTATTGAATTAGTCCAGGAGTATGAAACAAATGTATTTGTGCTGGTCACAGTGAGGTCAAATATGAAATGTTCACTCATCAGTCTGTTAGTTCAGGTGTCAGAGTGACTGACAGAATGACAAACTGCTGCCACTCACATTTTTCCTGTTGACAGGTGAGATTCTGCTACAGGTAAGATGGCACTGGATTCTCTCTTGTTCTGTGTCGACCTAAAAATGAAAAGTGAAAGCTCAGTGTGATGCATGTACCCAACTGTAAAATGTGAAAATGTCTGAAGCATTTTCTTTTTTATTTCCCTGCAGCTGTCAAGATGAAATATTCAATTCAGCAAAACAGCTTGTTAAGGAAAGAGGCAAAACAACGCAGCTTAAAAGAAAACGTACTTGTAGTAGGGTGAGAAAAAGAGATGCTTTATTATAAAAACCTGCTCATTAGTTGATACGGACTGCAATCGAAACCTTTTCAGTGTTGCCAATTAAAAAAAACTTTTCTGTTGTATGAATACGCTGTTTCAGTGTCTATAGTGGACACTTAAGGCACACTCAAAATGCCATTACATTAGTTAAAATATCAAACCAAGTGGCGTTTATTTAAAAGAAAGTTGGTATATAAGCACAACTTTTTAAGCCTAAACTTGAAAGAAGAACTGACATTATGCATCCATTAAAAATCACTGCAACATTACAGCAAAAAAAAAAAATCATAGTTCTGAGAAAAGCTTTTAAGCATTTTGGTGATATCGGTAACATTTGAGTAAAGCTGCTAATTGGTTTGATATTTTGCATGCACATTCAAACATTTTAATTGTGGCCACTGCGTATTAAGAGCGAATACACAGCTTGAATTCCCTTCCCTGATGATGTTTAATGGTTTTGAAGTGGATGAAGGGATGAAAACAGATTCAAACTAAATCAGAGAATGAGAGGAGAGACTGCAGATACTCACTCATACTCCTCTGGACACATGCTTACAAATGCAACAGCGCTGCGAAACATACAGACAGCAGAGTGAGAAAATATCAGAGATGTCAACAAGAAAACCTCATGAAAGCTGATCACACTAACAATCTGATTATACAAACAACAAATCAAATCAAAAAAGCTTTTCCCCTAAACCATTATGAATAATTATAATTGGCAACACATCTCAAATCACTGTTCGCTGCTTTTTTAACAATCTGTATTGTATAAAGTGCTATATGAATAAATGTGACTTGACTTTTATGGCACTGTCCACACAAATAATATATACATTGATGAACCATCACTTAATTTTTTAATCAAATGCACAAAAAACCTTGTTGCCCATTCTGACATGATTATTATTATTATTATTATTACTATTATAATTATAGTGTGTTTTATGGTGTCATTTTAAATTTCAACACTGTTTATATATTTAATTTTAATGTTAATTGGCAACACATCTCAAATCACTGTTCATTATGTGGTAGAAATGATTTTAAACGTTTTAACACAATTACTACTTAAATAATATTAGCTTAAAAAACGTATTGCTTTCTGTTCACAATATCAAATCAAATCGAAATTTATTTATATAGCAATATATAAAAATCAACAGTAGTTGACCATTGTGCTGTACAAAAATTTTATTATAATTGATTTTATTTATTTTAATTGTATATTTTATTGTAATAATAATATAATAGCTAAAATGCTATTTTGTTTGACCTCTTGAGGTTGACGAACAACCTTGTCTGAAGGTTATGCACCTCCTCTGCTGAAGAAAATGAAGAGTTTCTATTTTCTATATGACAATGTCATAGCTGTCCACCCTAAAACAAATTTCACCATAATTCCCTTTGTTTACCTGAAGCCCACCATGGGACACTCTTTACAGATGTTGCATTTGGCCTGATGTTTGGCGGTTTCTGCGGCGGCGACTCTATGAAGGACAGGCAACCAGACCATGGACTGCGGCTCCAAATGCATCCAGTCCACAAACTGCTGCAGCTCAATGACATCATCACGGCCCACCTGAACCCCAGACGACAGACAAACCCCTCATTCATAACCACAATGCACTGCATGACGCTCTATAATGGAGCTGTCTGAGTCTAAAAGCACTCAGATGGTCTATTTATCATTTCAGACGCGTATTCAACTACAACCCAAAAACTATAATATCCCATCACAACCTTATTAGCCTGAGGGGAAGGGATCCATTAGTAATTTTGAAGTGAAGCAAATGGGGCCAATTGTGATCATTCGTGACATTAAAACTGCTACTACTGTTATGAATCAATTACAGCAGGCCAGTTAAGGCAGGACTATCAAGAGTCTTTCATTACATGCAACATTAAATGAAAAGAGCTCCACTGTGACCCAAGTAAAACAGTGAAGTATTGGAGGATCCGTCCAGGGCGGATTTATAAATACTCCATTACACCAGCGGATGTGGTCCACATCATAAAGCACTCCATCATGTGATATTATGGGAACGCGCACACACAAATCAAGTGGATTTCATTTAAATATCTCTCGGTAGCTTGTGCGTCAGCTGTCGAATCGAGCGCTAAGCGTCTGAAAGTGGCGATGTAAATCCCCTGGCAGGCCTGCCACTCTTATAACTGAGCTCATCATTTATTTATGTGTCAAAACTCAGTGAAGTGTAATGATGAGCCCCTATCCCCAAATAAACAAGTCCGAGCATCCGTTCAGCAGCCCCCTTTAGGAATATATAATGTCTCACACACTTGAATTATGTATCATAGAATCATGTTCATTGATTTGCGTGTCAGAATTTTTGTTAAACATTGTCATCTTTTAATGTATGCTTATTAGTTAATGATTATTTCACTCTGTTTAGATCATTGTTAAAAAAATGTAATTTTTTAAATATATAATATAGTTTAACATTAAGCATCTGGGTCTGGGACAATAAAAAGAAATATTGCAAAATATAAAAATAAGCTTAGAAGTAGCAAAAAATTAATTAAAGCAAAAAGAGTTTATTTTGAGTTTTCAAAGGACAAAAGCAGCTGTAGTTGACAAAACAGCCACAAGCAGGACACGTAATAAAGACATTCAACACAAAACTACTATTGTCTGTGCTCTGACATTACAACATCCAGCGAGAACAGCTGCTTTATTTCAATATTAATGACTGCCGTGAACATGATAAATGTCCTGTCTCTTCATTTCCCCCTCGATCTCACTAAACAGACACCTGATTGCTTTTGTAATTAAATTCACATCCACGAGAGGGAAGCAGCATTTGCGTGTCGATGTTATAGCGCAGCTTTGGAATCACATCGATGAACGGCCTCTTATCTGTTCCAGCATTCGAATTACACATGAATAGACCTTTAGTAATTCATCAACTCCTTAGCAAAACAGAAACAGAGAAGCATGTTTCCCATGAGGCTGAGCAATGACAAGACGTCATTGCTACAATAGAGAAATGGCATCCTGTAGTCAGGATGTAAAAGTAGGAAGTAGTTTATTCTTGCACTTTTTAGTCAAGAATTAGAGAGGTCTCATCTGGAAAGATGCTTCTTGAATAAAACTCACGTCTCTGAATGCTCTTCCTCCAGGATGGTCTGCACGGGCAGGTAGCCGAGCCGAGGGTGTTTGGTGAAGTACTTCTTTGAGCGGAACTTGTTTTTCAGCACCAACCTTCTGGGTAGTAACCCACCCGCTGGGTCAAAACAGCCCAATTGCTGAGTTTGTCCCTATTTTACCCAGCACTGGGTTGTATTTAACCCAGCATTTTTTAGAGTGTACATTTTTTCACTTTCTCAAAAAGTAGAGATTTTGTTCTGGTCATAAATTGAACTTGGCCAAATGATGGACTTCAGCCAAAGGAACAATTTATTGCTCAGATTTTTCTTACAGATCTGTACTGAAAATATTTGTGTAGATCAGTTGGTCTTGGAAGAATTTGATAAAAAAAAATTATATTTGAGTTTGTACTGAGATCCGATTTTTCAAGTACACACTTTGGTGTTACATTGAGAAAAACATTGAGATTGATCTCACAAGGTTACTTTATAACTGTTGTTTTGGCAATGAAATAAGTTTAGGTTGAAGCACTAAAATAACTGGAAATAAATCAAAACTACAACTGAACTAAACTAAAACTGAAATAAAAGTAAATTAAACCTAAACAATAACATAAAAAAAATGACAAAGTAAAATAAAATGAAAACTTAATAATAAAAATAAAGCTAATTCAAAATAATAATAAAACTATAACAGTCTATAGAAAAATCTGACTCATAAATCTCCATTTAACCTCGATTTAATCGCAATGCTTTGGAAACCTGAAATAAGTTTAGGTCGAAGCACTATAATGACTAGCTAGAATTAAAACATAAATCAGAACTAAAACTAAAACTGAACTAAAAGTAAATGAATCCTAAATAGTAATATTAAAAAACTAATACAAATGACAAAAGCACAAAAAGACTTACAAATTTATAAACACTATGATAGTATATAATTAATACTAAAATAACACTGACCTGCACCAATGACTTTCTGCTTGGTGATATGACTAGGGTGAATTTCACTGGCAAACTTGAGGACAGCCGCACAGGGGTCTTCATATGTATGGGGATCAATGTAGGTCTTCAATGGCAGGAGTTTTTCTGTAAAATAAATAGGTAGAGTTAGAGCTTGATTAAATGACGCCCACTAGCTTTGAAGATTGATATATATAGGGATTTTCGTGCAAAGCTATTGCTGATAGCATCAAACATGACATCTTAACGCCAAACACATGAATGCAAAAGGGATTCAATTTATTTGTTTAATGGTTTTGAAGTGGATGAAGGGATGAAAACAGATTCAAACTAAATCAGAGAATGAGAGGAGAGACTGCAGATACTCACTCATACTCCTCTGGACACATGCTTACAAATGCAACAGCGCTGCGAAACATACAGACAGCAGAGTGAGAAAATATCAGAGATGTCAACAAGAAAACCTCATGAAAGCTGATCACACTAACAATCTGATTATACAAACAACAAATCAAATCAAAAAAGCTTTTCCCCTAAACCATTATGAATAATTATAATTGGCAACACATCTCAAATCACTGTTCATTATGTGGTAGAAATGATTTTAAACGTTTTAACACAATTACTACATAAATAATATTAGCTTAAAAAACGTATTACTTTCTGTTCACAATATCAAATCAAATCGAAATTTATTTATATAGCACAATAAAAATCAACAGTAGTTGACCATTGTGCTGTACAAAAAAAAGACATATAAAGGATAATAAATGGACAATGGACAATATATTTCCACTGATTTTTCTTCACACAGCATCACGTTTCATATTTCATCTCAAGCTCTTCATTGTCACTGTCTTCTCAATAAACAAACATGTACACTAACCTTTGAAGGACTTTATTATTGGCAAAATTGTTGTTTGGAGAGGAAATGACACCATAACTGAGGGATAGTCGTATTTTGTGCTAAATAAAATAAAATAATAGAATAATAATATTGATTGTGGTGGAAATGACTGTGGTGGAAATGTTAATTTTGATTGCCCTATTATATATATATATATATATATATATATATATTTATATTATAAAATGTAATAAATTATAGTTATTAAATTATATAATATTTGAAAATAATAATACAAATACATTTTTACAAATAAAATAAAATACTTTT